TCCAGAACTACAGGAAACAAAGGTAGATTTAAGACATACGAAAGTATATCATCAGCATATAGTAATAACCCATCAACACCTTTTCCTCCTGACCAAAAAGGTTAAACCTTTCTTAGTGTTGGAAGGGATGGGAGGAGGGCAAGTATGTATTACAGTTAGAGACAATATGTCTAAAGGCGGTATTGCAACTAAACATTTCTTGCACCAGAAAATTATTAACTAGAAAGTCGACAATGTACAAGAGAACTGTTAAATGGTTAAGAGGACACCTCGGAACGTGAACATGCAAATGTAATACTTGGAAACTTCCCCAGAGCTCAGAAAAGCTAGACTTAACTGTGTGACATCATTGCACTGAAAAGTTAATGGGACGGGATGGTTTGCAATACCAGAGAAACGGAGAAATATTGGTGTTTTTTTTAATTTAATGACTACCATCCTGGAGGCCTGTTTTCATTTATCATGATACACTAAAGTAAAATGATTCTGTGCCTTCTTGTCTCTGCAGATACCATTATAGCATTAGGTTAGCGATCTCACACTGGAGGCAGGCTTCTCATACAGTCAACACTGGCTCTCTTTAATATCCAACCATGATGAATATTTCTTCTCAGGCTTGAATATGAATACTACATTTTACACTTCAGTGCTAGCCCACCGGCCTCGGCTACTTTTGTTGACCCTGAAACTCATGAGGAATTTCTCTCTTGCCTCTTTCTTCTTTGCCCCGCCAGGCCATCAAGAGGCCTTTAGCCACGTCAGCCTCACAACACGCACACACACACACACACACACACACACACACACACACACACACACACTGGCATATAATTACATGCAGCACCCGGTCATTATTGGCAGCGATATTAGATAGTTTATTTAACAGTCAGTTGACACTGCCCTGCTTGATCCTTTCAGACACATGTTTACCTTCAGGGCCAGTCTGAGACAAACCTCTGTGCTTAAGGCCAGATGGCCTTCACTCCTTCTCGACACACTCCCTGTTATCTGACACACTCCTGCAGAGGATAACCTTAAACAGTGGGAGGGAGAGAGCCAGAGAGAGTGAAGCAGGCTGCTAATCACATGACTGAGGTGCAGAAGTGACCAACCTCTTTGTGCAACTCCATGATCGCTACAGAAAAACCTGTCAAAAGGATGTCATGCAATCCAGCATCTGAATCGGCTTGGGCTCATTTGGAAATGTCTTATCAACAAGCTACATGTTTTATCTTCAAATGTCCCTTTCAAATATCGGGGATAATAGTCTACGCTAGCTGGTGCAGCACTGATTAAGGAGCATGTTGATGCTTTGATATCTGCACAAGGGGAACCAGAGATGACCGGAGGGATTGATAAGTAGGTGAAAGGACAGAGATCCGTTACTTTGGAAGAATAAAGGGATGTCTATGAAGCGAGAGAGAGAGGGAGTGGTGGGTGTGTAGGTGAGGCATGTGGTGTCCAGATGCTGCTCATAAAGACTGAAAAAGGGAGAGGGAGCCCAAACTCAGATCTGCAGGCAGCAGAATAATGAGGCTGCATTTTAGACTTCAAAACAGGAATGAGGAGAAAGCACAAGGCAAGAAAGAGAGGTGTGGAGGCAAGAGGAGGGAGCCCATATTAGTGTGTCTTTGTGCAGAGATGCATACCTTAGTCCTGATTTCTTCATTTTAATAGTATCGCAGACATGCAGGAATATTAAAGGTGGGGTAGGTCATTTTGGAGAAACCAGCTCGAGTGCGCTAGAATTTGAAAATACACAGCCGGAAAATCTGCCACTTCCTTACAGAGCCCCTCCTCCAACACACACGAACGCGCACACGAGATAAGTTTGTGCACAGATGGAAGGCTGACAGGCAGGTAGGCCATCCAGTTACTTTAGCCGGGCCGGCTCAGATGATTGGTCGTGCTTTTTACAGCACGGTTTCCACAGATGACGTTTTTTTATGGATTTTTTGTCAAAGCACTTAAGATATTCATTGCTATCTGGATGTTAAGAGCATTCCATGGAATATAACACAAAGTGTATCTCGAGCCGGTTTCTCAAACTTACCTACCCCACCTTTAAGTTGGATAAAATATTCAGAATGCTACAGTTTCAAAGACATCAGTATCGCAAAGCTGGAAGGATTTGGCAGGGACTGCGAAGACTCTTTTTCTCAGAGGTCACAGTACACTCCAGCTGCAGCGAGATATCTTGCCTGAAGGTAGAGGAAGTTGAGAAACCTCCCTGAATGAGAACAGACGTGTCTGAAATTAAATGAGATTGAGAGGAGGATCCCTTATAGAAATTAAAGGCTCAAACATGAAGCAGTGATAAAGTGATGCATCATTCTCAGCAGATGCATCTTTAACTTTTATCATACTGCAGAAGTTGTGATATGTATGTTGAACATATATTTAGAATTGCTTTAATCCAAACACTGCACAACACAGATAGGGTAATGTCTTATTGGAAAATCTGCGTATTTCTTGAAGTAATTGTTCCCACATTTATTTTTTAGCCATAAAACCTTCGATAAAAGTTATAAAAGTATTATATTCTTTTGTGGACAGTCTTCCACCTTTACCCACTGCTTCACAGAAAACAGGAAGAATATGTCCTGCCAACAAGAGCCTGAAAATATTTGAAAAAACACGCCTTTCAGATTTAAAATCGTACTGATCTTATGAGTAAAGGAGAAAGCATCATTAGCTTTTTAATGTGATATGTGGAAAATAATGTTTGCCTGATCTTTTCAAAGTTTGGAAAGGTTTTTAATGAGCTCTTTGAGCAATTCACCAAAAATGTTAATTGTTTATTGGTGATAACATTTTATAGCAATCCTGTACATTTTCAGTTCATGTTTAGCAGAACAGAAAAAGAGACTGCACACACACATCTACTTTCTTTATTTCCAATTCCCCTCTATCCCATTCATATACATGCCACATGCTGTGTCAGGTATTGTTTACCTAAAATCCCAGAAGTTCCCTTAAGTTAAATCGCTCCCTGGAGCTAGGTCTGTCATTGGGACACTGCATGTAGCAACACATTTATTTCCCTCAGCGATGTGCAGTAGTGGTTGAAAAGGTGTGGGCACATCTACTCATTACCAATGAGTCAGCTGTTTCAGTGTGTTTCTATCCCACAATAAAAAAAAACATCCAGTCTTTAGGGGGGAACCTCCTCCTTTATTATTCACATGGGCAGTTATGCACTAAAACACACATGCACATGCTTGTATTCACACATATTTTTGGTTTTTACTCACATACCCACGACCTTTTACACACACAGAAACAGATATATTTAAAATGGGAAACTACCACTTGTGCAACAGATAAATTACCGGTCACCGCTGTAAAAACAACATTCCAAGGACAAAAAAAAAATTAACATCGCTATGTCACATGTCTGCAAGTATGGGCATGCACAACCACACACACACTATTACAATTATTGAGTGCTGTGTCTCCTTCTGGCTTAGGTCCCTCTCCAGCTGCTAGTTATGTGTGATGAGATATCAGTCTGAAGATAATTGAAATTCCAAACCTAAGGGTACCCTGCCTCATTTTGACTAATCCATGTGTGCAGAGCAAGACTGTGCATGTTTGCGTTTGTGTGTATTAACATAAGCATATGTGTGCATAATAACAGGTATTCTGTATTGCTATTTGTGCTAAATGTGGGTAAATTAAAGACTGTCATCACTGTGTGTGTGTGTGTGTGTGTGTGTGTGTGTGTGTGTGTGTGTGTGTGTGTGTGTGTGTGTGTGTGTGTGTGTGTGTGTGTGTGTGTGTGTGTGTGTGTGTGTGTGTGTGTGTGTGTGTGTGTGTGTGTGTGTGTGTGTGTGTGTGTGTGTGTGTGTGTGTGTGTGTGTGTGTGTGTGTGTGTGTGTGTGTGTGTGTGTGTGTGTGTGTGTGTGTGTGTGTGTGTGTGTGTGTGTGTGTGTGTGTGTGTGTGTGTGTGTGTGTGTGTGTGTGTGTGTGTGTGTGTGTGTGTGTGTGTGTGTGTAGCCATGCTAACTAAAATTGGGCGTGATTTTGGAGTGAGTACAGCGATGGAATATTACAGCAAGCAGTGGTAAACTCCACCTCTGTGTGTGTGTGTGTGTGTGTGTGCACATTCAAGTAAAGTGTATCTCTCACATTCTGTTGACCTTTCCTCGCTAAAGGGCAATTTCAATGCAAAGACAGGTATATTTATTTTTTTAAAACTCATGTTGAATTGATAGGTGCACAGCGATACAGTTACAGTTTTAAATGATCTTGCACACATTAATATAAAGACAAACACACACACTCACACACACTCACACATACAGTAGTCGCAGTGTGTTCTCTGAGTCAGCCCTGGGAGCTGAAGTGGAAATCTCTGTGAAGAACCAGCAACAGAGTGCAAACCACAGGAGTGACAAATAAGCAGCTGCAACAGTGCTAACTTTTACACTGACATCATTTGCGTGTGAGTGTGTGAGTCTCTGCATGTGTTGTCTGTGCAATTTGTCTGTGTCAAGTTGCTTAGATTTAGGGAAATATACGGTACCTTCAGTTATTTTTGAGCCTGTCTCTACGGCTGTCTGGCATACCTGTCTCGAGTACATTTTTATCCAGAGCAGCATCTGTCTGCACTCCTCAGACTGTCTGTGCTCCGAGGGGCAGTGCAGTTGATAAGGCAGAAAGGAAGCTTGGTATGTGCTAAGGCTGCTTTTTGTGACATCAGAGAGTAATTGGACGAATGTGGAAGGACAGACATGCTATCTGAATGTAATGTCGCCGAGTGTCACCACCTCTTCCCTCAAGCTAATGACAGTCTGCAGCGTTCAGCTTCACATGCTCTCATTTCTTTAGTGTCTTATCCCTGAAAACAGCCCTGACATGCAAAGATTTTTGTTTTGTTTCTTCGCACGGTCAGCTGTTAACATCTCATGTGTTTAGCAGATGTGTGTAACAGGCAGCATTGTAGTTTGAAGAGTTCATTTCATTAATGTCCTGCCTTTTCTGCTTTGGTGTTTCAGGGCAGCAACAGACCATAATGTGGACAACACTACTTCAATGTTGAAAGAATGGCTGAAAAGAGCCCAGGGTGTCTATCACTACGTGGAGTGGCGACCGATGGACGAACCGAAGTGAGTCACAGCTTCCAACTTTAATTACCAAATGTTCACAGCACTTCAAACATGTCCTGGATTTGATCTCACATAATTAGTAACATTTTGACAACCGCCTTTTATCTTCATCTTCATCAGATCATACACAGATGAGTGGGGTCCGAAGCATTGGCCTCCGTCACGGTTCAACCATGTGATGAAGCTGAGGCAGGCGGCGCTGAAGGCTGCCAGGGAACGATGGGCTGACTACATACTCGTAAGTCTTACGGCCCGTCTACACTACAGGCATAACAAAATCTTGAAGCTGGGCGTGTCTGAGGCTTGGCGATTTCTCGCGCCCAAGGCGACCAACAACCAATCAGGAATCTCCCGCCCGCCCCCGGCATACAAAGCAATAGCAATGTTAAAACAAAGTAAACTGGATATAAAATCCCCAAACAGGCGAAAACCTACCAGTTTCACCCCACTGTCTCTGCCACCTCCCTCCAAGCCTCGCTCCTCCGGTTTGTATCCCGGTAGATGAACAGAGACTGATCATACAGCACCGGGTGATTCACTACCGCTATAATAAATTTTCCCTCCATTTTTTTGAATATGAGGAAATGACCTGCGTAGTCTCTCCCAGCATACACGCGGTTTGATTGGCTAGCGCTTGTACTGTCAGATTTGCATACGCGGGATTTGATTGGCTGATGCCAAGCATCGAGCCTCAAAAGTTGAACATTGTTCAACTTTTGATGCCGATAGATGCTCGTGATGCTTGCAAAGCCATGCCATGCTCCCCACAATGCAGTTCGGCGAAGTTTAAAAATCTTCTACGTCACCCCATTCAAATGATTGGGCGAAGTGTTGAAAGCATTTTTCGATGCCTGTAGTGTAGACGGGCATACTTTTATTTATAAATTATTATTATAATTATTTAATAGTCTACAATACGATTGACATCCTGGGTATATAACTTAAAAAATTACATTAAATATAATGAATTAACAGCCTATATTGCAACAAACACAAACCTTTTCAAATATACACACACCGAATAGATGTTCTGAAAAGGGGGTTTGTTTGGGGGGGCGGGGGTTTGAGTTTGGTTTTGTTCTATGATGTAATACCCCACTCGTGAGGGTCTAAAGATTTGTATATTTAATAACAACAGCAATTTCTAACAAATGTAATTAGAGTAACAGTGAAAAGTGTCCTGTTATAGTGGTCACATACACTTTACACCTGCATTTTTTTTTTTGGTGGAACATTACTAATCAGCTCATAGTCAAACAGCTGATGAAGGAGTCAGTGATTGTGTAGCATGATTGAAACAATATCATTAGATACCAAGTGTTTTTTTCAGATGTGTTGGATATGATACACTCATACCCTCTCCCCTCTCCAGTTTGTAGACAGTGACAACCTGTTGACAAACCCCCATGTGCTGAACCTGATGATGGCTGAAAAGCTGACGCTGGCTGCCCCCATGCTAGAGTCTCGCTCGCTCTACTCCAACTTCTGGTGCGGCATCACCCCACAGGTACAGTTTACATGTATATAGACTTTTTGCACTACTTTTTATTTTGTATTTTTGTATTTTATTGCACATTGCATTGTTGGAGGTCAGGTCAGAAGAATTTCATTGCCATTTCTACACTGTAGCTCTGTGCATATGACAATAAAACCTTTGAATTGTAATCTTTTGAACACTACTGCAGCTGTTGAGTGGTGGAGTGTAACAAAGTACATTTACTCAACTTCTGTAGTTCGGTAATACTTTGAGGTACTTTAACTGATTTTTTTCCATTTTATGCTACTTTATACTTCTACTCCACTAAATTTCGGCTATCAATATTTTACTTTTTAATCCACTACATTTATCTGACAGCTTTAGTTACTTTACAGGTTCATAATATTGGTTGATGCAAGAACAAAAATCAACTATTTAATAACTATAATGAGTTATTATGGTTGACGATATCCTACAGCAGTATATATATATATAGTGATTTAAATGAGCTCCACCTTCGTCAGCTGACATAAATACATGAATTCATCAATGATCAAAATAACCATTATATAAATCTATTTTAAAACTATTGTAAAATTCAATTATAAAAATAAATGTTTACAAGAAATACAAATATTCAAACAATTAACTACAGAAAATATGACGAATAAAATAAAATGTCTCCTCTCAGGGATACTACAAGCGGACCCCGGACTACCAGCCTATCAGGGAGTGGAAGCGTCTCGGCTGCTACGCTGTTCCCATGGTGCACAGCACCTTCCTAATAGACCTGCGTCGTGAGTCCAGCAAGGATCTGACTTTCTACCCCCCCCCACCCCGACTACAGCTGGGCGTTTGATGACATCATGGTGTTTGCTTTCTCTGCTCGTCAATCAGGTCCGTTTGAAAACTCACAACAAACTTCCAAATACCACATGACAGCTTGACTTGGATGAACTGAAGGCTGTCATTGTCTTAAAGGGGGGTAGGTAAGTTTGAGAAACCGGCTCGAGATACACTTTTTGTTATATTCCATGGAATGCTCTTAACATCCCGATAGCAATGAATATCTGAAGTGCTTTGACAAAAAATCCATTAAAAAATGTAATCTGTGGAAGCCGTAGTACTGTAAAAAGCACGACCAATCATCTGAGCCGGCCCGGCTAAAATAACTGGATGGCCTACCTGCCTGTCAGCCTTCCATCTGTGCACAAACTTATCTCGTGCCCTCATTGGTCATGTGCGCGTTCGTGTGTGTTGGAGGAGGGGCTCTGTAAGGAAGTGGCAGATTTGTTCCGGCTGTGTATTTTCAAATTCTAGCGCACTCGAGCTGGTTTCTCCAAAATTACCTACCCCACCTTTAATGCATTTATTAATTAGAGGTGTAGTCCAACCTTTAATTTGCATGGGTGTACTGCTCAGGGCTTTTTTTATTTGATGTAATGCACATGTGCAGACTATGCAGATGATTTAAAGCAGAGGGAAATTAAATGTGTTTATCTGTAAGTGTGCAACAATACAAATGTTTGTAGATGTCCATGTTTGATATGAGTAATCATCCATAGGGAGCAAACATAACCATAAATCTTTCAACAGTGTGTGACTTTCCCCTGCAAACTAAAAAAGTAAAGCCATTAAAGGATCCACACAAACAGATTTACACAAACAAAGACCCTCAAAGAAACTCAGGCAGAGTTTCCTACTTCTCTCCAATGATATTCAATACATAAAAGTACACATAAATATGCAGCATTAAAGTGGGAATATTTTACTTTTGAATGCGGTCTGTCTACAAATGACTGGTAAGCATTAAAAATCATCTCTCAAGTCAACACAGCCTTTCTTTGTCTTCAACCAATAGCTTATAGCTTATATTGGTTCATTTCAGTACTCTAATTTAAGCATTCACTTTAATATCATACTTACTTTGATTAAAACATTTACAGATGTAAAAAATAATGAACATTTCAATTCCGATTAAAGTCATTTTCATTCAAATAAAAACAATTAAGCTATGAAACAGAACCCAATTTAAAGTTTACAAAAACCTAATGGATATTTCTTACAATGGAATAAATGCAGTATATTCCCCTTTTGACACCTCTTACATAATGAAAGTTATTGCAACACACTTATAAATGATAACAATGATTTAGTTAATCTCAAATGTCTCGTGTGAAGCCTGCACGGTTCTTTTTCCTCCCTTCACAAATCACCCAATGCAATGTGTTCTATATACTTCAAAAGGGATATGAGATGCAAATATATTTATGCTTTGAAGTAACATCAAGCATTTGATTAAATGCGGCAGTGTTTATTTTCTTGAAAAGCATGTAGGCTTTAGTGTGACACTAGCGCATAGGGGACACGATATTATGACTGGGGGTGGTTTCATTTGCATGTTTATTTGAATGTTTGAGTCAAAGGGTTTTATTTACAGGACAATGTATACATGTGTGTGTTTTGCAGGCGTGCAGATGTATGTGTGTAACAGAGAACACTACGGTCTGCTGCCCGTCCCTCTCAAAGCACAGCAGAGTGTGGAGGATGAGAGCGAGAGTTTCATACACACCATCACGGAGGCTTTGAGCAAGTACAAACACACTCACACACCGACACCAACACACTCTTTCCAGCTGTTGTGACCTAACTATCGGTCACTCCACGATGACTTCCCCTCTCAGGTTTGTTTCTTCTTCTTCTTGACCTCTGCGACCCTTCCTGATTACATCCTGTCAACTCTCTCTGCTTTAATCCCAGTCCTTCATATTATCTCTCTGCCTCCTTCTCTCTCTCTCTCTCTCTCTCTCTCTCTCTCTCTCTCTCTCTATCTCTCTCTCTCTCTCTCTCTCTCTCTCTCTCTCTCTCTCTCTCTCTCTCTCTCTCTCTCTCTCTCTCTCTCTCTGTTTATTCAACTCCCATCCCCAGCCCTCACTTTCCCACTCTTTTGGCTCCCCTCTCCTCTCAGATTTTTAGAAAAGCAGATTAAATAAACCACCCTAATCCAGAGGAAATGTACTTATTTTCTAATCCTGTTTTTGCTGTTTTAACCTTTTGCTTCTCTCCTCTCTCTGTGAACAGTTGACCACGACATTGAGCCCTCTGAGCATCTGCACTCTCAGCCGTCGCCACAAGACACCATGGGCTTTGATAAAGTGAGTTAAAAGCAGTGTTGTGCTATTGTCTATTTGTCCTTAAAGGTGGGGTAGGTACATTTGAGAAACCGGCTCGAGATACACTTTTTGTTATATTCCATGGAATGCTCTTAACATCCCGATAGCAATGAATATCTTAAGTGCTTTGACAAAAAATCCATACAAAAACGTCATCTGTGGAAGCCGTAGTACTGTAAAAAGCACGACCAATCATCTGAGCCGGCCCGGCTAAAATAACTGGATGGCCTACCTGCCTGTCAGCCTTCCATCTGTGCACAGACTTATCTCGTGCCCTCATTGGTCATGTGCGCGTTCGTGTGTGTTGGAGGAGGGGCTCTGTAAGGAAGTGGCAGATTTTTTCCGGCTGTGTATTTTCAAAATCTAGCGCACTCGAGCTGGTTTCTCCAAATGTCCTACCCCACCTTTAAATCACAGACAAACAAATCAAACACAAAACTCTAAATACAACTACTGCAGAGGCACCAGATAGCGAATCTTACACTGGATGTAGTCCATTGTCCAGGCATTAATTGTTTTTGTTTGTCCATTTGCACAGCCATACAAACATACACCCACATACAAAGAACAATGGTTTTAAGTGGTTAAATAAAGGCATAAACAACTACTACAATCAACTTAAATTCTAACTTTGAATGATGATCAATTTATTTAATAGTCAAAAGTCAATGAATAGCTCCAGCAAGTGTGTTGGCTCTGCCTGGAGGAACTTCTGTTTTTCTGTATATTTTTCTGTTAATCAGCAACTCCCACTTCCTGTTTTGGAAGCTGTTTTTCTCCTTTCTTGTGTTTCCAAGTGTTGTTTTTCTTCTTTTGCCCTTGCTTTAACCTCAAACTCATGATCATGTCTCCATTTTTCCTGATAAATGTTTAGATTATCCTGGTTAACCTGAAGCGCCGGCTGGACAGAAGAACCAGGATGTTGAAAACAATGTCTTCGCTGGGTTTACACACCGTGCTGGAAGAAGCAGTGGACGGCAAGTAGGTCACAAACACACAGCCCTGCACGCACGTGATGAACTGACCTGAAGTCTGATTGAATCCAGAAAAAATCATCCTTACAATCTCTGCGATTTAGTCTTTTAAGGTTTAGTTTGCAGAACAAAAGTAAGATTATGTACTCCCTGAACATCAGTTAAGAGATGTCCCACTTTTCTGTGATGCGTCTGTCGTTACTTCCTCTGACATCCATACCCAAACATCCTCTCTAAACACAGCTTTGGTGTTTGTAGCAATAGGCTTGACTTACTTTCCCTCCTTGGCACTTTACTTTAATCCACTGCTGAGAATGTCCTAATCCTTTTTCCAGCCTTTGTTTGTCTGACAAATGTTGTTGCAGCTTGCTGAGTTTGACTTTGTTGTGTTTTGGCTGTGACACTGTTTTGGATGATGACAGACCTAGCTACATAATAACAAGTGAAGAAATACTTCACTTTTTCAACTGCTACTACTCATTCATTTCCCTTCTCTGTGTCTATAAGGGCTCTCAATTCATCCCAGCTTCAGGCGCTAGGAATAGAGATGATGCCGGGATACAAAGACCCTTACTCTGGTCGAGTCCTGACCAGAGGGGAGATCGGGTGCTTCCTCAGCCATTACTCTATATGGAAGCAGGTAAATACCCTAATATAGAAGGGCTGTGTAGTTAAATAAAGAGACTGTCAGCACAATCATCACAAAAGTACTGTAAAACAAGGGACAATCTGCACAGCTGGCAGAACGTCAGCTGTTTTAATTGTATTTTTACTTGACGTGTTTTTGTCCATCAGGTGGTGGAGAATGGCATCCCAAAAGTTCTTGTTTTAGAGGACGATGTGAGGTTTGAACCTAGATTTAAACGACGAATCCAGTCCATCATGGATGATGTAGACAAAACCCAGCTGGATTGGGACCTCATGTAAGAACACACGTACACACACTTTGTTCCCTTCAAATGTTACACGTGAAAAAGGTATGAAATTCTAACTAATCTATATCTACATTAAACTTTCCCTGTTGCTAACTTACATTTAAACTATAATTGTTTTCAGATTTAAAGTTTTTCTTAAATGTAACGATTGTACATAAATCTAGATTTGAAAGTTCTTATTTAAAGGGGACCTAGTATGCAAAATCCACTTCTTCATGTCTCTTCTACATCAACATGTGTCCCCTCTGTGGAAAGAGACTCTGAAAGTTTCAGGAAAAAAGATTCTCTCTCTTTTTGTCCTGATCCATTTCTATAAAAACCTGTCTGAAAATGAGCTGATCAGATTTTGGCTACTTTATGATGTCATAACGAGTTTTTGGCTTGTGTAACCATTAGCCAATCACCAACCAAGGTAACCCCCCCCCCCACCTTATCACCTGAATCTCCTCCTAGAGCACCATTGTGTTCTTTTTAACCAGATATCTCTCAGAGGGCGTGGGGAGGGGCTCCTTATTTTCATCTAAAGTAACAGACAGAGAATCAGCACTTTTGAAACAGGGCTGAAACAGAGGGGATTATGGGATGCTGCAATGATCTGTTTGGTATTTCGAGCCACTTCAGAGACATGTTTTGTATATGAGACCTGGAATATATTGATGAAAAACAGTATAATAGGGGACCTTTAATTTTGTGGACATATAGTCCCAGGATTTTATATTATTTCTGATGTTCAGACTATGAGAACATTCTTTTTTTTGAGAAACAAGCTATAAGGATATTACATTACATTACATTACATTACATTGCATTTAGCTGACGCTTTTATCCAAAGCGACTTACAATAAGTACATTCGACCAGGAAGACACAACCTTGAAGAAAACAGAATCATATAAGTACATCAGGTTTCATAGAGCCAAACATTTCAAGTGCTACTCAACTGGCTTTAGGTAAGCCAGCCCTTTATTAGTATAAAAGTGCTTCGTTAATAGTTCTAACGCTCGAAGTGGAGTCGAAAGAGATGAGTTTTCAGTTTTTCAAAATCTATATGTATTGGAAAATCCCATACCTTTTGCAAGACACTACAGGTGAACAGGATAACACAATTAACTAATAGACACTTTCACTGCTGATCACTTACAATAGGACAGATATTTTTGGTACTACAAGTATTCCAAAATGATATGATTACATATGCAAAAAGGCATAACCCCATGTTAACTTTTGGCAAATTAATGAACATTGATCAGTGCATGTAGTTTCTCGCCTTAAATCTAAAAGTTTGCATCCATTAGCGTGAAGCCTCATCAACACACTCTTTCTCTCCGTCCTCTCCAGCTACGTGGGCCGTAAGCGTATGCAGGTGCAGCAGCCAGAGCAGTCTGTGGACGGCGTGAACAACCTGGTGAAGGCCGACTACTCCTATTGGACGCTCGGCTACGCGCTCTCACTGCAAGGAGCCAAGAAGTTACTGGATGCTAAACCCTTGTCGAAGATGCTGCCTGTCGACGAGTACCTCCCTGTCATGTTCAACAAACACCCCAAGTCAGTCTTTACTTTGATTTCAAAGGACAGTGCTGCATACGTGCACAACACAACATGAAGAACATGCAAATAATACACAAAGACAAGGAGCTTTATTTGAGGCATGTACTGCATAAAAACCACAGAGGCTACTAAAAGAAGTATTGCTGTATAATGACTAACAGACAAAGACCTTTTTAGAGGGTCTGAACAGACAGGCAAATATTTACTGTGAACCACAAATATATGATTACAGGTGCGCTCCTGAATAAGAATCAAGCAGTCTACATTAAGAATAAACATGAAGATGCTAAAGTGAAAGCTGTATTTAAAGAACACAGTCCATTGATCCATTGCATGCACAAAAACAGACTCGAGGGCAAAAGCTGTCCTCATAAAATCTGCAGGACTTACTATACAGTAATTATCTCAACATAGACACAAACAGTTTGTTGGAGACATTTTAGACAGTTGGATAGTGTGTAGTTTTCTAGTTTGTTCTCGTGTGGTACACCACAACCTCCGTCCAGTTCAACTCCAATTTATGCTCCCTGTATGTTTCCACTTTCTTTCTTCCTTCCTTCCTTCCCGCCGATTATGTTCCTCTTTCTCCCTTTTTTCTTTCACCCCCTGTTTTCTGTGCTGCCTCACACACAGGGCTTGGATTGTTCTTCATTGGTTCAGTGGGTACAGGACCCTGCGCAGGACACACAATGCCGGCTTTTCTCTTTCTTTTTTCTTCGGGGATTCCTCACATGCCCTGCTCCATCTCCACCTCGACATCATTCCATGTTTCATCCTTTAAATCAGCAATCTGTCTCGCCTGTCATTATTCATTTCTTATTCTCTTTTACTTCTTTAAAATCCCCCCTTAATTAACAGACCTTTACTTTTTTGCACACCTTCCCCTTTCCTGTGTCACCCATTTCTCCTCCCCCTTCCTACTCTCCCTTTGAGGAATGTGGGCCAGCACGGCTCTTCCTGCTGGTTGGAGAAGGGGACAGGATTCCCATTGATAGAGGCCTGGCAGTAGAGGTGGGGTAGAGATGGACTGTGTGTGTGTGTGTGTGTGTGTGTGTGTGTGTGTGTGTGTGTGTGTGTGTGGTGTGTGTGTGTGTGTGTGTGTGTGTGTGTGTGTGTGTGTGTGTGTGTGTGTGTGTGTGTGGTGTGTGTGTGGTGTGTGTGTGTGTGTGTGTGTGTGTGTGTGTGTGTGTGTGTGTGTGTGTGTGTGTGTGTGTGTGTGTGTGTGTGTGTGTGTGTGTGTGTGTGTGTGTGTGTATATAAATACATGGAGATGTGTGTCTAGTGTGCAGTGTATAGATTACTAGGTAAACACAGTGTGTGTGTATTCAACAGTGAGAGAAGGTGAGTTTGTTCCAAAGTGAAAGAAATGGGGAAACGGACAGAAAGGTGGAAAGGTGGCTGGGGAAAATATGTAAAATGTGTTGTGTGTTACATTAATCAACAGCAGGGGATTATGTGCCCTGTTAAAATGGTGGTAATTATGTCAAATGTGTTGTTTTAAGGGGGTTGCAGGCTGGGTGGAGAGATTCAGTAAAGCGCCCCTCTCCCTTTTTTGTTACTTAACTAAATGGCACACAAACAGAAGCAAGACAAAAATATGACCCATTGAAAACACCTGGTTGTGTGTAAAAAGTGTGTGTGAGCGTGTGTTTACTTGTGGTCTAATAACGGTGTAGGGTTTCACTGTCCTCATGGAGTGCTGACAGGCATGGTTAGCATGCGAATGGATAGGGGGAGTTGACCTCTGTGGTGACGTCTGTCTGCAAGACCTTGAAACACCCAAACAATCCTCATTCCTCCCATTCCTGCTGCAAGCTCCCAAAGACTTATAGGGTGATATTAGGATGACATGAAGCTGCATTTTATGATATTTTGTAATATGTAATGTGTACTTTGACTAAGCAGATAGTGAGGGATATTCTGTTCACTGTTGTATTGTTCCCGTCTGCTGGGGGATCTGACAGAAAGGATAGAGAAGGGGGTGTGAGATCTGGAGTATAGGTGGCAGCTCTAGGTGATGGGATGGAGATGTAGATGAGAGAGAAAATAGAAGAAGGGTGAAGAGGATTATTGGGCACAAAAGAGATCTATTTGAATTGAAACATCCATTGGTTGGGTTAACTTAAATCCTGATGTTGCATAAAAGTTCAAATCCAATCTTAAAACAGAAGTTAAATACATGAAATGTGACACCCTAATGAGGTTTCTGAAGCTAGAGAATAGTGCAACAGACAGTTAACAGATAGTATTTAAATAGAATGTTTACGAACATGTCCAATTGGAAGGAGTTGAGATGTATTATACCATAACAATTACACATTTCAAAACAACTAACACTAACCGAAGACCCTAAAACAAACCAACCTAACCATATCTACTAAATAATTCCAAAATATTGTGTACTTTACTAAGCAGATACTTGCTCACTACTTGTATTGCACTTTTTTTACTTCTTTTTGTCTTAAGTATATTGTGTGTTCCACTGTTGGCTGATCCCTGGAGTTGTGATTGTCCCTGCCAACTTTTTTTGCATATGACAATAGAACCTTTGAATCTTTGATAATGATATATTCTCCATGAACTTGCTTCCAGTGTCCATAACATCTCTATTATTTCCCTCCTCGTCAGCACTGCGTTCATGACTCACTTCGAGCCTCGGGACCTGAAGGCCTTTTCCGTGGAGCCGTTGCTCATCTACCCCACGCACTACACCGGAGAGCCGGGCTACTTCAGCGACACGGAGACCTCCACCATCTGGGACGACGAGGCAGTGGAAACAGACTGGGACCGGCAGCACGCCCTCAAGACGGCCCAGCAAGGCAGCATCGAGGCCATGGCTCAGAACAGCGTCAGCGGAGACATGCCCCCCCCCGCAGCCCGAGCATCCCGAGACGAACTCTGATACACTGACTCAGAGAGAAAGACTCGTGTTTACTACGCCGTGTACACACAGTGAATTTCACTTCTCACACACACTTGAAAAGACGCTTGAACTGCAAGCTGACTTACTGTACATTCATTCAAACACACACACTGACTGGTGGATAAAGCAGAGTGAAGATGTCAATCTGCTCTGCGGCCCGATGAAGGGACACTGGGGAGAAGAAGAAGAAGAGGAGATTCTGGGATGAGGGCCAGCAGGCCTCAGACAAAAAGCTTTATTTATTCTCCACTTGCCTCCTCTGGGCATGTGGAGACATTTATAACCCGGGAAAACTTAAGCAACACATGGAAGACAGCTAACGTTATATGCAGGATGTCAACGACAGAAAAAAATTCTCCCAAATCAATTATAATGTTTTTTAACAAAGATTATTGTTATTTAAAAAGAACAAATGTGTTTTTTTTTTAATGGGCAGCTGAAGAATAAAGGAATCTTAAAGCTGTCTGAAAAAAGTGTGTGTGCAACTGTGTAAATAAGGGTCTGTGTATGTGTGTGTTTAAGTGAGTTTGCACGTGGACATAATGCATGTGTTTACCAAAGAGAACATGTGTGGGATGAGGGAAGCTGACATACTGGACCCAAGTGTCACTGCCCCAGATGATGTCTCTCTCTCTCTCTCTCTTTCGCTCTCTCTCTCTCTAATGGATGGTATTAAACTCAGTGTTTCTGTCTGATATTTCCCTTGCACAGCGGGCTGGTCCTGATAATTAGCATTTAAATCTTCATCCTTACATTACACGTAGCCTGCAGGATGTATGACATGCAATATTGTGCACTTTAGGCCCCCTGCTTTCAGAATGTATGTGTTAAATAATTGTAGATAAAGTGGATTATTGAATTATTCATGTCCTCGACAAGGGCTGTTATTATTTTAGTTGTGGTTTCGGGCTGAACTAATAAAACATCTTCTCTGTTACTGTGTCACTCGGCTGCGTAAAGTAACACAGATGTTATCATCTTATTGTAATCTAGATTCTAGAGTATCATCCGATATATGGCATTGCAAAGAAGTTGGACACAGACAAAACAGGCAGCTCTCTTTATCTCAGAGGAATTTCATTAGATACTGTATATTTTTGTTTGAGTTGAACAGTAAGCATGACCTGCAACTGTTCACATGACCTAATACGTCCCTTAGCCTCGTTTACTTTTACAAAATCTTGTAAAACATGAAAGGCTCTCCAATAAATGTGAGGTTTGAACGGTGATCAGGTTAAGGACTCACAGTAGGTGTTTCGCCTCCTGCTGTTCACTGGCTGAGTGAAAATCTGCTCACTGTTTTATAGTTCCTGTCTGTTGTGAGATCTGACAGAAAGGATGGAGAGGGGGGGGGGGGGTCCTAGAGTATGGGTGGTGGTAATACGTGATGGGGTGAGGTGAAAGAGAGAAATGGAAGAAGGGTGAAGAGTATTATTGGGTGCTAGGGAGATCTATTTAAATTGTAATGTGCTTTGGTTGGATTTACTTGAATTCAGATTATTACAGTACAATCAAAAGACAGAAAGGATATCATGTGAAATTGAGCACCCTGTTAACCCATCTGAAGCTTGACAATAGGGTCCCCATCACTAAGCAGATGATATTTAAAGGATATGTTTACTATCTTATCTAATTGGAAATAGTTCATCCATTATACAGTAACAATTACAACCTAAAACACTCAACATTAACATAAAACCCTAAAAACTCACCAACCTAAACACATATTTGAAAACTATTAATAGATCAAGTTTGGTTGAGATGTGAGAAAACGTGTTTGATCGGATCAAAACATTGCAGTAATGCTTACCTTGCATCTTGCAACACTGACCTCAAAACACTGTCCTAAAAAAATAAAAACGTTGTATTGTCAAAAGAGGTATCATGCTGCCACCTGCTGGTTATGAGTGGACCGACACCCATATTGAACAGCCTCTGCATCATAGGTAGGCCTACGTCTGATTATATAATACATGTTAGGGTATATTAAGGGTAATTGGAATATAAATACATGTTTTAAAGGAAAAAGCAAGTGGACTCTACTACAAAAGACTGTATTTCAATATATTTTTTGTATTTTACTTACACAAATACTTCTCACCTCATACACATGCTTACATAAAAATACAATATTTGTCAAATAAGGTATTATACTCCCTCTTCCTCCTCCTTTTCTACACGCATCACAGCATAAAGTTGCATGTATTATAGCAACTTATTTTATTGTAAGTATTTCATTATGTCGTTGTACAGATCAAGGTGCATTTCATAATGAGCTAAGCACTGCAATAATATGAAACAGCCATAACATATATTCTGCCCTTGAGTATGCATCGCACTGCATATCTTAACAGATAGCGAACAAAGACTCAGAAGACAGTTGTTGAGTGGACCATTTACTGAGGCTTGAAAAGGTAAAACTGCAAGAATAAACAGAAAAATACAACACAAGTTACACAATTGAAATAATACATGTGCAACATAATGCAAATAGAGTGCAGTATAATCAACAGCCTATGCTAAGAATGAGCTATGTCCGTTAGCTTAGCAGCTAGTTAGCTTAGCTTATCTTACACATTGAAACCACACAATCAATTAAACCACATTTTTGAAACATAACTTGGCACACAGGTAAGTTTGTATACTTATATATATATATATATATACAGACAGATCTACTCCAAGGATTAAAACAAAATGATCTGTGGCATAGAACTGAGCTACGATGTGCTCTGCATGGCTTTGCTGTGTAAACTAAAACACAAGAAGGAGAGTTGCGCTATCTGGTGCCTTAAAGCTACAGTACCGAATTTTGCCACTAGGGGGTGCCAATATACTATGGTGTCAGAACACTCCCCGCTTGGTAAACCTTTTTACCACTATTTACATCTCTTTACCCTTGGTATCAGTAACACCACATCACTGATGGGCCTAAGGTACTCTTTAGCTGTCCCTTGACCTAAGGTCTTCACCATGACCTTTCACACCTTGCAGTCCAAACTTGGAATGGCCTTTACTATCAGACCAAGAGGCCAGTCATTACGTTGTGCTTGAACGTCCTTTAACAAAACAACGTCACCGTCCTGGAGATTAGGCCGCTCCTCGGTCCACTTCCTCCGAGGCTGAAGAGTTGCCAGATACTCCTGCTTCCACCGTTTCCAGAAGGAGTTCACCAAGCTCTGAACCTGGCGCCACTGTACCTTACATAGGTGATCCAGTTCAAAGTCCCCCGGGGGTGTGGTTGTCACACTCGCCTTCTGGGTTAGAAGAGTAGCAGGTGAGAGTATCTCAGGAAGGTCTGTATCATAAGAGATGGGAACCAGAGGCCTGGCGTTCATGATGGCCATAACTTCAGCCATCAAAGTGGCCAGGACTTCATGGGTCAGTTTATCCTTATTCTTCAACAGCAGTGCATCAAGGACCCGTCGAGCCACACCAATCATCCTCTCCCAAGCTCCACCCATATGTGAGGAATGAGGTGCATTACAACCATGTGCAACCATGGTCTTGCAGATAGTCCTTGATCTCAGGATCGTCCGTGTTTATCTGAAGCTCTCTGCATGCTCCAATAAAGTTTGTGCCTCTGTCTGACCTGAGGTGTTTGACAGGTCCACGAATCGACAGGAAGCGCCTCAAGGCATTAATGAAACTTGAGGTGGTCATGGTTTCAATAACCTCCAAGTGAACAGCTCTCGTACTGAGACATGTGAAAATGACTGCCCATCTTTTACTCTCAGCAGCACCACCTCTTGTGCGACGAGTTATCACACTCCATGGACCAAAGACATCAAGCCCTACATGTGTAAAAGGTGGCTCCATGGACAGTCTGTCAGCAGGCAGATCGGACATTTTCTGAACCTCAAACTTGCCTCAACTTCCTGCAGATGACACATTTGAATATTGTACTCGAAATGAGCCTCTTCCCTCCTACTATCCAGACACTGGCAGTGCGCCCTCTGTTAAATGGCGACCTTGGTGAGCTGCTTGATCATGATAGTGTCGGACTAAGAGAGTGGCAACATGATGACTGGCTGGCAGGATGAGTGGATGTTTCTCTTGGTCTTCCAATTGGGCTTTATGGATGCGACCCCCAACTCTCAGCAATCCATCCTTGTCAAGAAATGGGTCCAGTTTCACAAGAGAGCTGTGGCTATGAACATTAATGCCCTGAGTTGCGCAGTCCACCTCGTTCTTGTAAACATCCTGCTGCACTGCCTTCAAGATGATTGTTTTGGCCTGAGAGAGCTCTGAGGTGTGTGACTGTTTGCAGTGATGCCATCCATTGCACTCTACAGTGTGATACTTGCTGGAATAGGACTTGGCTACATGAATGAGTGTTGCCATACCTCTTACTAGAGCCTTCCAAGTAGAGAAATGTTTGAACCGTTGTGATCCGAGACTATGCTCTGTGACCTTGGTTGCAAGAGAGAGAACTTGAGGATACATTTATTTATCAGTCTCTGGTTGCACAAGTTCAAATTATTCAGTCTTATTTTCTGTGTCTGTCTGACGGAGAAATTGAGGGCCAAAGAACCAACTGGATGACATCAGACAAGCTGCTGGTATTGGCCTTGTTCCGTGGTCAGCAGGGTTCACTTCAGTTTTCATATAGAGCCACTGTTCTGGGTTAGTACTGTTCCTTATGCGACCTACTCTGTTAGCTACGTAGGTGTAGAACCACCTTGAATTGTTGTAGATGTAGCCAAGAACAACGCGACTGTCCGTGAAGAACCTGACTGCCTTCAACTCCAAGTCAATCTCAGACTTGATTAGTTCTGCCAGTTCAACCGCCAAGACTGCCCCACACAGCTCCAGGCGAGGTATGGTGTGCAATGGGTAAGGAGCTAGCTTTGATTTGCCCATCACAAAGCCTACATGCCATTTCCCATCAGGGTCAAGAACACGTAGGTATGCTACGGCAGCAATTGCCCTTGTAGAAGCGTCTGAGAAAACACAAAGTTCTGTTCGTTTGCAAGATGACATTGAGACCGGGGTATATGGTCTTGGTACTTGAATCTGTTCCAGCTCAGTTAAGGAGTCAGTCCAAGCTTTCCACTGAGCTTCCTTCTCTGGTGGGAGTGGGACGTCCCACTCGTACTGCTCTGAAGAAAGTTCTCTTACCAACGCCTTGCCTTGCACAGTGATGGGAGATGCAAATCCCAGGGGATCAAAGAGACTGTTCACAGTGGACAGTATGCCTCGACGAGTGAACGGTTTAATGTCCTGTGAAACTTTAAAGGTGAATCTGTCATTATTGAGTTCCCAGCTTATGCCCAGACTCCGTTGGAGAGGCAAAGGGTCGGCTCCCAAATCCAGATCTTTAAAGTTGCTTGTTCGTTCTTCAAGAGGAAAGGCCTCCATGACCCTGGCACTGTTTGAAGCTATTTTGCGAAGCCTCAAATTGGACTCAGCCAGTAGGCTCTTGGTTCGCTGTAGCAGATCAATGGCTTCATCTTCTTTTGATACTGAAATTAGTCCATCATCGACATAAAAGTTCCTGAATACAAACTCCTTTGAGTCTGTGCCATGTTCAGTTTCTCCTTGCTCTGCAGCCTTTCTCAGCCCGTATGTTGCTACTGCTGGTGATGGACTGTTCCCAAACACGTGCACTGTCATCCAGTAGTCAACAATCTCCTTATCTGGGTCATTGTCTCTGTGCCACAAAAACCGCAGGAAGTTGCGATGGTCCTGTCTGACCTTGAAACAATAGAACATCTGTTCTACGTCAGCTGTGACGGCTAAATTTGCTCCCTTCTGAATCTCAGTAGGACCCCAATTAGAGTGTTGTTGAGGTTGGGTCCACTGAGGAGAACGTCGTTCAATGACACTCCTTTGTACTGAGAGCTGGAATAAAAAACTACTCTTATTTTCCCTGGTTTTTGCGGGTGGTAAATACAGAATGTAGGCAAATACCAGCACTCTTGTCCATGCTGCAGTTGTGGAGCTGGCTCGGCTTGGTGGTTGTCAATGACCTTCTGCATGAAGTCAAATAAATGCTCTTTCATGTCTGGTCTCCTTCTGAATGAGCGCTGGAGAGACGCTGCAAGGCATGTTCCCTGTTATTAGGAAGGGGCTTGCGGGGGAAGCGAAAGGGCAGTGGTGCCACCCAGTGGTTTTCATCATCCATATACACCTCGTTTTCCATGATTCGGAGAAAGACCTTGTCATCCACAGACAGGGCTGGTTTGTCGTCATCAGGTGTTTTTCGAAACACACTTTCTCCTATACAATCTAAACTTCCATTAAGGACGTTTTCCAGGCTGTGAGATGGGGCTGGAAGATGATGCTTGGCTGGACCATTTAACCTCTCCTTCACCTGAATGCTGTTCGTGCACGGCTTAAGAAAGGATGGGCGTCCATTTTGAAGGACATGGGTCTTGTAGACGTTGACATTGTTTGAATTGTGAGTCCCATCCAGGCATATTTCTCCAACTATGACCCAGCCAAGGTCAAGGCGCTGGGCGTAGGGTGAGTTGTGAGGCCCGTTACACTGTTCACGCACCTTATGTAGACGCAGAATGTCTCTTCCGAGCAGAAGGAGAATAGGAGCATTGGTGTCGAGGGGAGGAATCTTGTCAGTCACTTGCCTGAGGTGTGGAAAATACTATGTGATCTCCGGAGTGGGAATCTCTGACCTGTCGTCAGGCAAGTTGTTACATTCCAACAGAGGAGGGAGTGCTGCTTTAGTTTTCCCATCAAGCGACTCCACTATAATGTTGCATGCTTTTCTTCCTGCTGTCTCCACTTTGCCTGAGCATGTTGTTAGAGTATAGGGAGATGCATTGCCATTCAAGCCAAACAGATCGAAGAATTGTGATTTTGCTAACGACCGATTACTTTGATCATCCAGCACTGCATACACTCTGTGTGACTTGTTGGGATAATCAGCCTGGTATACATTCACCAAGCAGATTTTCGAGCATGATCTGGGCTTGGGAGCACCACAGCAGATTTCTGTACACATGGAAGTTACTTCAGGTGGCCTTTGTCGTCCAGACTCGCCGCTTTGCTCATTCTCAGGTCTAAACATACCAAACGACCAAGGAGCTGGACCAGGATGCATGGCTGAGGTATGTTTGTCACTTTCACACTCCTTGCATTTAAGTGTTGCCTCGCAATCTTTGGCAATATGCTTTGTGGATTCACAACATCGAAAGCAGATGGATTTCTCCTTTAAATAAGTTATTCTCTCATCAAGGTGTCTTCCTCGAAACCAACGGCATTTTGACAGTGGATGAGGCTTGTTATGCACTGGGCATTGTTTGTCTGGTTCCTCTGTCTTGATAGCTGAGCCAGACTGTGAGGCAGAAGCAGTCACTTCAGTTTTCCTAACTGAAACAGCTGTTCTCGGAGTGTATTTAGGTATTCTATCCACTCTAATGTCACTTTGGGAAGAGGAGAGACTGAATGCAAAACTTGGATCATTTCTGATCTTTGCCTGGGCACATACAAATTTCACAAAGAAGCTGAAAGGTGGGAAAGGCACAAGATAATCTTCCTTATACCTGGAGCCTTGCGTTACCCAGCGCTGTAGATTGTAAGGAAGCTTTTCCACTATTGGATTAACACCTCTTGCAGTGTCCAAATATGCTAGGCCAGGCAGGAATCCACCAGATTTAGCGGCATCTATCTCCAGTAGCAAGTCACCTAGCTCTCTGAGCTGGTGGATGTCTTTGTTTGAGGTGGTTGGAAATGTCTCTATTCGTTTTAGAAGGGCATTTTCGATCACCTCTGGGCATCCATAACATTCCTCTAAGCGCCGCCATATCATACTGACACCTGCTGTGGGGTTATGAACGTGCACTGACCTTATCCGCTTTGCATGTGCTGCTGACTCCGGTCCAAGCCATTTGACAAGGAGGTTGAGCTCTTCGTGGTCAGACAGATACAGCTCCCTTGTAACTGCTTGGAATGATGATTTCCATGCCCAGTAATTTTCTGGACGATCATCAAAGGCAAGGAGCCCAGAACTCACCATCTCTTTTCTCACGAGATACTGAGCAAGATCAGGAGTATGAGGAGTTGGAGCTGAGTAGTTATTTGGAACGAATGCTGGAGAGACAGGAAGCGATGCATAGTGTAGGTCCTCAGTGGGTTTGTGCTCATCTGCACCCTTGTGTGGCCAATGTATGCCCTGCTGTCCGTTATTGTGAGAAGTGAGTTTCTGTGTTTCCACGTTTTGAAACTGTTGGTGAGTGTTTTGTAAAAATGAATGTTTATCAATGTATTCTGTTGTGCGTCTTGCTGGATCCTCCTGAGCTAAATCCTGTAACTCACCAAGATGTCCTTCTTCCAAATCTGCTGCAGCTGCTTCAAATATGGCTGCCTCTTTAGATGCGGCCACAGCTTTACTTTCCAGCTTCAAAACATAAAGGTTTGCCTCCACCTCTGCTTTCTGCCTCATCATGGCTGCCTCCCTTTCTGCGAAGGATACCTTTATTTTTGCTGCTTCGGCTTTAGCTCTTGCCCTTGTCGCTGCAGCACTGGCAGATGACTTGCTTGACCTTGTTGATGACCTGTGACTTGAGGCCCGGGACCTGGTGTCCACAGACCGGAGTTCTTCTTCCTGGTCATTCATCGTACTGCTGTCTGATGAATGAGTCTTTAGGTTGAAGTAGTAGCGTGCTGATCACAGAATTATTTCGCTGCCTTTCCAGCTGAGTAGTGTCTTTTTACTATTCTGCCCTTGCGTATGCATCGCACTGCATAGCTTAACAGATAGCAAAGACTCAGAAGACAGTTGTTGAGTTGACCATTTACTGAGGCTTGAAATTGTAAAACTGCAAGAATAAACAGAAAAATACAACACAAGTTACACAATTGAAATAATACATGTGCAACATAATGCAAATAGAGTGCAGTATAATCAACAGCCTATGCTAAGAATGAGCCATGTCCGTTAGCTTAGCAGCTAGTTAGCTTAGCTTATCTTACACATTGAAACCACACAATCAATTAAACCACATTTTTGAAACATAACTTGGCACACAGGTAAGTTTGTATACTTACAGACAGATCTACTCCAAGGATTAAAACAAAAATGATATGTGGCATAGAACTGAGCTACGATGTGCTCTCTGCCAATACACTATGGTGTCAGAACATCATAACTTTGACAATCAATCAATCAATCAATCAATCAATGTTTATTTATATAGCCCAATATCACAAATGTTACATTTGTCTCAGTGGACTTTACAGTTTGTACAAAATATCAGTATGACAATACGACACCCTCTGTCCTTAGACCCTCACATCGTACAAGGAAAAACTTCCGAAGAAAACCCACAGTTTAAAGGGAAAAATGGGAGAAACCTCAGGGAGAGCAACAGAGGAGGGATCCCTCTCCCAGGACGGACAGACGTGCAATAGATGCCGTGTGTAAATTGAAAAGATAATACATTTGCAACATAGGTAGTCCAAATGTTTGGAAATGCATGTGTGTATAATAGGAAGATGAATCCACGAGGATATCCATCCAGGACCTATGATCCAGGACCACAGCCACGACTCAAGATCCAGGACAGAGGAGCGCAGGATCATCCATGACTCCGGATCCCGGCGTATACAGACACCAAAAAGAAAGAAATTTGGGGAAGCTGGGTTAATCGGAACATGAGAGTACACAAGTATAGACAGAGAGAAGGAAGAAGTAAGATGTCCCCCGACAAACTAAGCCTATATCAGCAAAACTAGGGGCTGAATCTAATCAGCCCTAACTATAAGCTTTATCAAAAAGGAAGGTCTTAAGCGCACTCTTAAAAACGGATAGGGTGTCTGCCGCCCGAACACAAACTGGAAGCTGATTCCACAAATGTGGAGCTTGATAAGAAAAGGCTCTGGCTCCCATTGTACTTTTAGAGACTCTAGGAACAACCAACAACCCTGCATTCTTGGAACGCAATGCCTAGGACAGTAGGGTATAATGAGTTATTTAAGGTAAGATGGCGCCTGCCCATTAAGGGCTTTGTAGGCGAGAAGAAGAATTTTAAATTCTATCCTGTGTTCTATAGGGAGCCAGTGTAAGGCAGCCAGAACAGGAGTTGCAGCATTTTGAATCAGCTGAAGCGACTTGACTGACAAGAAACTTTGAAAATGGTTATACAATATATCTGGTTATACAATATATCTGAAGATATATAGGAACGTATGAGATATTTTCAACACTTTCTGCAGTACGCTTCAGTGGGCCTGAAGGTTCTCATTTGACCAACCAATCTCAGCAGCTGGCAAAAGAAGACTTGCTTGTTTCACGTAAAATGTGATGAGATCAGAGGCAAATATCTAAGGCCTGTGATACTTTGAAACTAAACTAATTTAAATTGAATTGAAACAGTGATTTTGACAGCAGGAAGGGGGAGTAAAACAGTCCGAGGGGTCTGTGCCACTCCACTTGTTCAAGGCCAAAGGTCCGCTGAGCCCCTGCTTCCTCACGTGGTAGTGGATCGCCGGAGCTGTATTAGATTAACATTAACATGCTTATTGTAGTTGTAAGTGCAATGTCTTGCAGCCTGTAGCACCATCCTTGATGGAGCATATGTGTGGGCTGGAGCCGGTATTTTTCAGGAAAGGAGTGAGCAGAGGGTCATGTTGTCGATTCTTGTTCTGTAATGTGACTATCTGCCTCACCCTCTCAGACTGTCAGTTGAAGAGATGACACAAAAAAGGCTGCAGCAGTCTCAACTTGTGCGATAATTTTTATGTTGTATTTACTCCACGCTAACGCAACAGTTAACCATTCCTCTTTCATGTATAGTGATATTGGGAACCTGTCCCTAACAAACTCATTTAGATCACTATTACCACATGTGATAATCTAACTGGCAAAATCAATTTTGCAATCCTCAATAAGACATCAGGTGGTTAAGCCCCGAGCCTGTTTTTCAGGTCTCAGGCTCGAAAATGACATTCCCAGAACAAATGACCATATCTTCCCTTCTAAAAGGGTTAAATTAATAATCATTTTTCTCAAAGCAAGGTTACACCTGTGAGTTGGATGTAGAAGTGTCAGCATCAATATATATGTTTTTATTTTAAAGTAAATTCAGATTGAACACAGTAAAAAAATGTAAATTATTGTGTCCGTCCAAAAAAAGAAAATTACTTATAGTGAAAACCACCCTGGAATGATGGGATGGTAGACTAAAAGCTTTAGGAATCCAAACTACAACATATAATAAGTACCCTGTATCAAGATTGATGCAAAACAAGTGAAATTTGACCTTTTTTAGAGAGATTTAGCACAAAAAAACACTTCTGGGGTCATTTGGGTGGATTTTCCATATCTCTGCCCCCCCTTGGTCGATTTTGCTGATTGGCATCTCTTTCTAACCGTCAGAGCCAATGGAATCGAGGGGAACTCCCACATACTCCTTATTTGGTAATGTGTGTGTGAGACTGCCGCATAGCCAAGACCGGAAGCTGCGATAACTCTGGTGACTACCATTAGTAGCTAACTTTTACTCTCCGATTTGTACATACAAATGGAATTATGGATCATAAATAAAAAAAATTATTACCCAGAAACATTATCAACCTATGGAATAACCGATTCAGCCGCATTTTTTCTCGTTTTAATGCCATTGAACCAGTCTTTTGAACAGATTGACATCTACGGTGAGACAATCTCCCGTAAAAGCTCCGTAAAGGTACGTGTTGTGATGTCTGTTTGCTTCCCCTGTCAAGAGTTCGGATCACTCAGTGATGAAATATATACCCAAATAATCTGTGGAACCTCAGCTTTAATCGGATATCTTGTATGTGCAGCTACGATAAGGAAGACAGGTCATTATTGGATCGCTTACAGAAATGCTCTGATTGGTCAAAAGCAGTTGCAAGACTGAAACGACATGCCAAAGAACACCAAGGTGTGAAACAAAGAACCAATTAATGTACAACCATTCAAAGGCGAAAGACCAAAGTTACCTGACAACAAGACGTGTGCAGTACACCACATAAATTGTCTTGAAAGAAAAAATCACAGAAGTCTTTCCAGGATCAGATAGTAGGGTCAGAAAACTTTAATTACTGGTTAGCCAAACCACATTAGACAAAAAGGGGAAATCCACAATTAGGACTGTGTTCCTTGAAAGACCTGTACACAAGGTTGTTACTCTGCTTGAGGCAGAATAAGGTGTTTAATATGTTGCCTGAGATTCCATGTTAAGTTGTTATCTACAGGTAATGTCTATTTCAAAGGGTAAAGCGTTTACTTTGTACAAATAATCTTTTGTGTGAAATCTCACGAGTAATGTGTGATTTGGTGGGAGTGTAAGTGCAGCCTTTACATGTTCATAATTGAACTGTAATGTGTATTTTCTAAGTGTACTAATTATTATTGTTGTAATGTTTCATGCGTGCAATATTTCGTCTTTTATTTTGAAGTCCAAGCTCACGTCTCGTTATGCTGTTCTCGCGTGAGTTAGAGAGCGAGAACATGAGAAGCACCCTCAGAGTAAGATTCACGGATACTTACAGCTCCGTTAGTTTTGTATTCTTATACATATAAGTTGTGAAGAGAACTGAAGAATACTTCCCTCTGTTTACAGAGCATGCAGCCCAACGAGGTATGTTGTTGTGTTCGTATTACTTTTATGTTTATTACCTTGCTAGTTATCTCACATGCTGTGCCTGTTATTGTGTGTCTAACACGAAACTATGTTTGTCATTTATACTGTTTGTTTGTGTAGTTTTCACGGTGGATTCGGAGGAATAAACCCGTTATGAGAAAGCCACTTGTGTCTGTGCTTCGAGGGAATTACAATAAGGGTATCTTTTATCTTGAGTTCTGTGCCAAAGTGCGTTAGCATTTTTCGCTCAGGGGTCATTAGATGCTTCTTATGAGACTTGTGTTTTGTTTTGGTAAAAATTGTTTGTATCGTCAGTTAGCTGAGATTATTCCCGTTAATCTGGTATAACACATTAATAGGTTCTTAAATATTAAGATCTTCTGAGACACAGTGTCGTGAGAAAAAGAAAAAAAAAAGTACCCGCCGGCGGGGACCTTGGGGCTTAATAGGTTTTAATCGAACCATTTCTGTAATATTTAGACTAGAGGCTTGCAGAATACAGAGCGATTCCAAGAATGTGCCCATGTCTGCGTTCATAATTAGAGTCTAATTCCAGATCAAAACGATATGGATTTAGAGATGTATCTATCCCAAACACTTTCTAAATCTTGCTTTAAAAACAAATGGCCACTATTTCACTTGAAACTCAGGCAAAGCAGGCAAATGAATCCAGCGCACCTGCTTTCAATCAACCAACTGAACCACATTTGGAAAAGCAGAGGTGTAACTTATAACAGTAACAGTGGCCGCCTGGTGGTTTAGGTGTTCCAGGTCTTACCTTTTCATGCTATTTGATATACTAAGGGTCATCAATGGAAAAAAGAAGGCAGATGAAAGGGGTCAAGTCCAGCCAGTTTTATTTGTAGAGGTCAAAATCACAAGTCACATTTGCCTCAAAGAGCTTTACACTAAGTACAAAAACGAGGGGTTACGTGGCTCCGCCTGTGTTTATATAACAAGGGTTACCATACATAACCCCTCGTTATATCTCTCACAGGCCCTCTACTGGACTCTATGGGTACAGTGGGCGGAGCCCCGATGTATACACGCGCTGTCGTCCCACAACAACACTGTTCCTCACTGTCTCTGCCGGCTACGTCTATAGAAGTGTGAGTGGATGAATGCTTGCATGATATGATCAAGGACCCATAGAGTCCAGTAGAGGGCGGAGCCTGTGAGAGATATAACAACTCCCACGATCAGAAACCTGTATTCAAATGAGAAAAACCTGAAAACGTAATGGAGTCACATCTCCATTGCATTTATCTGCCAGCTTTAGGCCATTTATTTCATATTATGATAATATTTGAGCTGCTTTGTGACCAAGGGTAGTAGAGCATGCATTAGCATTAAGATGCTTTTAAGAACACTTGTTGAAGGCTTTTATAGTTTAGAAATGCATTGTTTTATCAGCTCAATTTGCATGTTGTGTCTGATGATCCTATCTGCAATGGTAATACATGCAAAATGCAGGATTCTTAGTCATCGAAGCGAGAAGAGGTTGATGT